AATTTTTTAAAAAGTCCGGCCTGAGTAAGAAAATTTTATTAAACATTTTTTATAAATACTTGCCCTACCCCGTTTTTTAGATTTACCCTGACCTAGATTGGCTTTTATATTTTAAGACGCGTCATATTTTTTTTTAAAATTGTTTAACTCGTCCTTTTATAATACATTTTTTTACTCCGGTTTGCTTATTTTTTATTTTTTTGAAAGCAGAGCTGAAGTGGTGGCGCTTTAAAATATTAGCAAAGCGAAGCGTGGTTTAATCCGAGAAATGGGGAAATAATTAAATATTGTAATTTGGAAAAAACAAATAAAATATCTTCATATTGTGATTTTTGGGCCTAGAGATGTTGATGGTTTCTGGTGTTCTTATCAAATATAGCATTAAAAATAAATGTGCTGCACAAAAGGTAAAAATCATTTTTGAGGTGTTGAAGTTTAAATTATTTAAAAATTTCTATTAGCAAATTTTTGTATTATTAAAAATATTATGAAATTTTTCTACAATAATAAAAAAGGAATTTTATGAAATTCACTAATATTGTGATATGTCGTAAAAATACACAAAAGTATTTAACCCTTCAATTCAATATACTGGGGCATAAGTCTCTAGGTGTACTAGAATTTATATTACATAAAAACGCTTAATTGTTATGAACTGTAATTTTTAGTATGGGAGAACCGGGTTATATTGTCCATAGTAAATTGAGGTGCTATGGAAAGATAAGAAGTAACTTATCAAAATAATTTGCTACATTGTTTTATTCTGTTCTGGACATTGATATCTAAGGATTCTTATTATTTTTTTAAATCTAAATTTAAAATAAATGAAAATTTTTGTTTGTTAAAAATACACGGAAGACGTTTATTCCTTTTGTGAGGCATGTTTTCGACATAGACTAACAATAATATAGACTGCTCAACAATTAAGAAATACAACATTCATTTTAATAAGTTGATGTTTATAATTATTTTACATTAAATATTTTGTATTAATAAAACTTTTTTAATTTTTTATTTAAATCGTATATATATGCTTGATATAAAATTTTTTAAAAAGATATATTATAAAAAAATTAAATATTGTTTAAGAATTCATATATAAATGAATGTAAAAAATTAATTATATATAATATCATTAAACAATTTTTATAATAATAATATATAATAAGAAAATTTCAGTAAGATGAAGGAAGCATTTTTAAAAATTTAATTTGTATATTTTATATAACAAAAATAGTGGTTTAATTTACAACAGAATATATTAATATATTATGTAATATAAAATGATAGAGATTTAAAATTCATGAAAAAGTTTTTAAATTATTTGGGAGAATAGATAAATTGATATATTACAAAATTAAAGAAAAATTAAAAATTATGAAAACATAAAAGTCTATAAAAAACAGGAGAATATGCTTTATATAATGAAAAAAAATTATTGGCCTAAAACTATTTTATTTTTAATTAATTTTTTATCATAATTATTTTTAAATTTAAGCTTTCTTTTCTCTCTTTTTTGATAAAATAAAATGTTTTTATATCTAAGAACGTTCAATTATATTTGGAATTTGCTAAGATCTAGCATATGCTATTTATAAAATTCTTTTTTAACTGCATGCTTACTTTTTATTAATAATTGGAAACCTAGATAATTTAAAAAAAAAATAATCATTTTGATTCAAAGCCACCCTATTATAATAATAAAGTGATCAGGAATAAAAAGTCGGAGATATAACATTATATCTGTAAATTGAAAAATAGTAAAAATATATATATTTAAAAAAATAATATTAATTAAAATTATATTTTTACTCATGATGATATCATAAAAATCTACCCGACCTTTTATTAATGCTTTAATTCACAATTTCTTAAAAATCACCTAGATTTTTTATTAATGCTTTAATTCATTCAAATTAATAATTAAAGAAAATTTACATATATGTTAGTGGCAATGTATATTTTCCGGCAATGTGTTATTTTTTCAACTTTATACCATGATTTAGACATTTTTTTGAATCTAAGTATATGATTTGAAATGTATTGCAAATGTTTGGAATATCTACTTTATGAATTCCAGATAATTTGCCATGAACTTTTGAACTTACTATAATTTATATTCATTTTCCATAGAGTTATTATATAAATTATAAATGATTCACTCAAAAGTTAACGGCAAAATTGTCTGGAATTCATAAGATAGGTATTCTAAGATGCTGGAATATATTTGTAGTAAAATCTTCTAAATTTATCAAACGCGCTAAAAAAATGATTTAAAATTGAAAAAATAGCACATTGCCGGAAAAATCACATTACCACTAACATATATACTTACAATTAATTGTTATTTTAATATAGTATTGTATTTTGTATTAAAGATATTGGATGAAAACAAACTTATTTCTTCCATTGAAATTGCCACATATATAGGCCATTTAAATTTAGCTTGTAGATATTTTCTTAATGAAAGAATTTAAAAATCTTGTAAAAACACATTTATTTATTTGAAAAATTAGAATATGATAATTTGTAGATATTGGATAAAAAGATTCATTAAAAATATGTAATGCAAAGATATGAGTATTTGTTTGGTTTAATAAAATTCTCTTTTAACTTCATGGGTTCATTTATTTAAAAGAGCTTTATTGTTAATTGAAACTAAATAATTATAAAAAAAATTATTATTTAATTCAAAGCCACATCATAAAGTGAAGAGGAATACAAATAATAGAAAAAAAATCAGAGAACTTCATGTTTGTAAATTAAAATATAGAAAAAAAATTCAGATATATTAATATTATGTCTGTAAATTAAAAAATAGTGAAAAATAATATTAATTAAAATTATATAATTATCTTTTTACTCACCATTCTATGTATTAACTTTAAATAACCTGTATTTAGTTTTAAGATACAATTTATACAAACAATTATATAATAAATAATTGATTATCGAAAATGTACTTTAGATGAATATATAAACATATTATTATTAAAGTTAAATTATCTTTTGATCTTTGAATTTTGTTAAAATAAAATAAAATATTATTTTATTCTTATAAACCTTTTAAATCTTAAACAGGATTCTGCTAGAGGAGGGGGGGGGGCATTATTAGGTGTGGGCTTCCCTTCTAAATAGGAATTAGCTTAATTAAATAATATTATACCTCTTTTTTTACTACCACGAATAAAATAAAGTTCTTAAAATGACTGTGAATTATTAACGCCTCATTTTCTTATTATTGTTATAGATTTACAGGAATAAAACATCTTTAAAATATAAGACCATATCTCTCTTTAAATTTTTTATATTACTATAAAAACCGATGATAAATACCGTAAAGTATATTTAAATCTTCCTTTTCTTAATTATTTATAAAAAATTAAGCACTGACAGGTTTATCTCCACTCCATATCTAGTCAATATATATTAGATCGGACTCGACCACATGATCCTTAATATATATTAAAAATTAAGTTAGTTTTATCATATTTTGACAAAATTTTGTCGTTATTTAGCGAAACGTTTGACGTGTATTATCTCTAGCCTAGATATAAATGGCCCAAAAAGATAATTGATTAAAATGGGAGAGGTAAAAATTGAAAAGTGAGTCATATAATAAGTCAAAGAACTCAAGGAAGCTCTGGTAAATTTATTCTGAGTAAGTTTAATTAATTGTCTCCTATGTAGGTTATAAACATAGTCAACAACTTATAAGTTAACCAATAAAATGGGTCTTTTCATAAAAATGTACCTTTTTTAAGCTTTTGAATTATATAAAAGAATAAATTATTTATATTTTTAAAAATATATAAGTTAAGGAAAATTAATTTAATCAATCATTTTAAGCTATTTTTTAAATTAATTAAAAAATGTTTTATATTTCTTTAGTTATTGTGATAATAAGAGTTGATGTTTTAATGATTAGCAATAATTACCTTTGAAACCGGAATGAATATATATATAGTTAATAAGAAAAAAAATTGTGAATCATTATAAAAGGTATAATAAGAGAGATAATGATCATCTGATGATTTTTCCTAAATGCGATTTAATTTTTTTACAAACACCTTGAGCTATATGATGGTTAATTTATTTGATAAAGATTTCACTTTTATTTTTCTTAATTTTTTTTTATTATTATTTGATGTTTTTTAAGTGGGAAGGGTTTGGTGAATGAATTATAAAATAAAGAAGGTTTTAAGGAATTTATTTATATAAATATATTATAAAACTTTGATTATTGACGATATTATATATTTTAATATAAGTTGGAGTACATTGAAATATATTAAAAAAATGATTTTATATATTTATTTATAAATCGGATCGCAAAAAAGGTAAGTACATTTAAAAATATATACTATAATTCATAAAAGAAAATTTACATTTATGATGTATATGACACGCGTCAAAATAATATAATTGTACTTATTTTTAATATCAGTTATTTAAACTTGAGTTTCTTTTTATTTTTTAGATGACGGAAATATTTTAATAAAAGTAAAATTACAGAATTTTTTTTATAGCTAAGTGAGTGATGGTGAAGAATTCATTATTTCATCCTAGAGGTAGAAGATAAGAACAAGAGAAAAATCTTTCTTTTTTAATATCAAATTTTATTTTTTTAACAATCACAATGAAACTTTCCCCACTCACACCTTCCTTTTATAATATTATCTAAAATTCTATTTATTTTTTTAATTGTTAATATTTTATTATTTCTATTCCATTATATAAATATTCATAAATTTAATGGTAAAAAATTTCCTATATGATAGATAATAAGAATAACAATATGTAAATTTTTAAGAAAAATAAAAGTTGTTTTTTATTAAATTTATTATTCCAAAAAAAAATTAAAAATATTTTTAAAATTTTTAAATTATTTTAAAATATTTTCTTAAAAATAATTTTGTTTTATTTTGTTAAAAGAGCATCTTATCCATGGTAACAAAAATACATAAATTCACACGTTTCTGATTTTTCCCTCTTTTTAAATGACACATTTTCGCGAAAATATCGTAATCAAACTTAAAAAAGCTATCTTTTTAACCGCGTTTCGAAGAGAAACTTCGATCAAAAATAATGATGAGTTAAAAAAAAATTTTTTACCAAAAGAATCGAATTATTGGCCCAAGGATTCAGCTTCTTCGAAACAATCTTATTCAAAAATTTTATGTTCCAATTTTAAGCTTCACTTTAGAAAAAAACACATATTGTTTTATTCATATGGCATCAACAACTTAAGCGATTACTTTTCAATAAGCAGAAGTTATCATGAATCAGCTTCTATAGAACATGGTAAAGATAATTTAACTTTAACGCGGAGGGAATCACTTCTGTCTATCGCCGATGTCCCTGGCCCAAATTCGATACCATTCCTGGGATCTCGATTGAAATATAAACCTTTCGGTATTGCAAAATCATTATTTTAATTCCTTTTTAAAAATCAAATTTATTATAATCTAATTAGCTATCTATTTCCTTAAATTGACTTATAATGAATGAATGCAAACATATGTTTTAAAAGTAGGTGTTAAATATTTTGTGCATTTTTATATTGTAATTTAATGTGTTTGGCATATATATATTCTATCATAAACCAATTTCACTTAAAACATCTGTTAAGATTAAATATTTTAAAAATTATTAGCAAAAAATAATGATAGAATAATAAACCATTATATAGTAAATGTTAAATACTTTACGACACTCTGAAAAGCGTATTTAAGAATATAATGTGATATTGTATTAGTAATTACATCTAAATATCTTAAAATGATATTCGATTCCTCTGGATTGCCCAGATTTTTTTTAAATATATTACATTTATTCTTAATTTTTGTCGCTAATATTGGCGATTTCAAATACTCGGTTTTGAAATATACGATCCGGCCCGTATTTTTTTTTAAAAATGTATTCAAAAAATATTTTTAGGCTCCCGCCCGGTCAGGGTATATTTAAAAAAATTAACGAGCCGGGCCGAGCTTGCAAGTCTCTGATATAATACTGTTCAAACTTATAAAAAATTATTTTTAAAATAATTAGTTTTAACTCAAAAAATCAAAGTGGACTACTTTTGCATTTTTTTTGCTGTTATTTTAAAATTTATATAATCATCTGAGATTTAGAGTTACAAAAAATAATTATGTGAAATGAATATCACTATAGGCGCGTAACCAAGGGGTAAGAAAGTGGGGAATTTCCCACCCCAACGGAAATTTGCCTGTTCTTGTAAATATAATATTTCCCCTATACCCCCCCCCCCCTTTAAAAAAAGGTGTACAATATATCTTTATAAGCAAACATTTATAAGAAAAATAAGTTAGTTAATAATTTTTTAAAATAATGATTATAATTCAACATTTTTAGAAAAAAATTATTTTTATAAAAAATAGTGAAAACTAAAAATATTTTTATAAAAATTTAACATAGCCAAAGGTCTATAATAAGTGGACCTATAAACATTCAATAAAATTTATGGCGATAAAACCACCTTAGTCACCCCTTTCTCTTAGGAATATCCTGAATACGCTTATTTACCATAAAAATATTTAGCACTATAACCAGGCTGTTTGAACTTTCATTAGAGGAGGGGCACGATTAAAAAGAAATTGGCGTTTATTAGGTTAAAGGTTAGTTATAATATTGAGAATTGGAGCTTCATGAGAATTTTTTGACAATCCAATAATTATGGCAGCTGCATAACAATTATATAACTAATTGTAAGCGGTCCGTTTTTTTTCCATTATTTTAATAATATTTCCAAGGATAGATATGTCGTGATCTAAACGATTTTCATTTCACAGCTTAATATAATTAGTTCAGTTAATTAACCCCTGGTAACGATTAAAAAATTTGGGATCATAATATGATAATGATTTAAAGCACAAAAAAACCTAAAGCTTTAGATCAGGGTTGCCATGTCTCCCCCCATCAGCGGGAGACTCCCGCAATTAGTTTATACGCAGACATCTCTCTTTGGAAATCTCCCGCAAAAATCTACCGCAATTTTTTTAAAATAGTATTTTAACTTTTTAATATATAAATAATAATTTTGAGAGACATTAATTGATTATTTTTATATTTTTAAAATATCAAATATTTATTCGAAAAACCTGTCTAGTTTGTAAATTTCTTTCTATACTGTTTTATTTTTATCCAATAATAAATCTTTCATTCATATAAATCAGTACAGGGGAGTATATCAACATCGATTGCAATACAAAATTATTCTCAAAAATAAAAAATAATACAGATGCAACTACATTTGCGGAAATCGTATATATCTATCATGTAGTTCAACATTCACAGAGCTTTGTCATCACAATGTGGGTCGAATCTTTTTCTCATGATAAAGTGCAAACCTTACTTGTGGCAGAACAAAAATGAGCAAGGCTATCACAAGTGTTTTAATATCTGAATCCTAGAGGTCAATTCTAGACGATTTGAAAGATGGGCATCTATATGCAATTCTAACAGATGCATCTAATAAGGGAAATATTAAAACATTTCCCTCGATCCTTAGCTATTTCAACAAGAATAAGAACATTTCAATAAAACTGTTATTTTTTCCTCGGATAGTGAAAAATCCAACAATGTAGCTAGCCACATAATGGTAAATAGCTGATTCAGGGTTATCAATGATTTACATTTCAGCTTTCTGCGCTGATAATGCCTCTGTAAATTTTGGCAAAAACCAAAGTTAACGAATTGGAGCAGAAAAATAATGAATTAATACCAATTGGCTATAAATGCCATATACTACATAATTCCTGCAAGAAGGTAATAAATGTACTATCTGTGGATGTCGAAATAATTGTGATGAAATGTTTTAAGGAATTTAGTTCATCAACTAAAAGAGTTAATGAATTAAAAGAATTGGTGAAGTGGTCTGACTTGGAATGGTGTGAGTTGTTGCGATATATACCTATCAGGTGGTTATCATTAATACCTGCCATCGATAGAATTTTAAAATTTTACGAACCCTTAAAAAAATATTTCTTAAATAGAGATTTTAAAAGCTGTCCTAAATTTTTGAAAAAATTTTCGAGTATGAAATGGCAGAAGCATATTCGGGATTCGTTTCACATGTAGGAAATCTACTTCATGCAGTTAATATTCAGTTGCAATTAGAATATTCTTTATTAAAACAGATTCACAAAATCATGCAACAGCTCTGTTCATCTCTACAGTTAAAAATTGATAATAAATTTTATGGCGCTATTGCTAAAAATATTATATTAAAATGTTCAAATAATACTATAATTAATACATTTTTATATGAAGCAGATATTTTTATTAAGACAATTTTAGAATATTTACAATCAAAATTTGATTTTAATAACTCTATTTACAAATGTATAAATATTATGACTTTGAAACAGAAAACATCAATTGATGGTTTTTATAATTTAATAAATATATTAAAAATACCGAAAGACATTGATGTCTTTTTTGAGGAGATTGTAATTCTCTATTTTTTATGATATGCCAAAATACTTAGTTAGATGGTCTAAAAGCAAAGGAGAAATGGATAGAATTTTTTTAGTAATAACTATATAAATCCCCATGCTTGGAAAATATATGCTAGTATGTCTTCTCTTTACGTCATTCTAATGCCTCATCCGAGCGCATTTTTAGCCTGATGACTGCCTGGATAAAGGAGAGTAATCGAATTTCTTTAACAACATTAGAGGGTGAGCTATTGGTTAAACAATATATAATATGTGGTGCCAGGAATTTTATGAATATCTCTATATCGACGGTAAACATTTAGTTCTATTATTTAAAAATCTCAAATATAATATAATTAAGTTATAGCAATGGCGCCATAAAATTTATTGTCAATTATTAACTGAAAAGATGAACACATCTGCAGCATAATTTTGTGAATCTTGTTAAAATTCTTCCGATTGCAACTACACATTAACAGCATGTAGTAGATTTCCTACATGGGAAATCATTCCTAAATATACCTCTGCCCAGCGTCTACATGAGCGGGAGGGGTAGGAACAGTTTGCATCCTATTTTTTTGAGGGGGTAGGATGCTTTAATGAGGGTAGGATAAATATTTTTTTTTGGGGGGGTGGGTTATCTATTAAATTTTGAGATGAAATAAGACACAATTTATTGCTGTAAAAAATAATACTTTTATTATAGAATTATTATAATACAAGTATTGACCAAATCTATATATTGCAAACAATCATACACATTGTTTCCCAAATCAGCAAGCTCATAATGCCATAATAATTAATTCATTGTGAATAATGGAGGTTATAATTGAATTTATTATCTAAAAAATAAATTCTTTATATTCACAAAATATCGATTGTTGGTAGTAGAGATTGATTAATTTAAGTTATCCATATAAATTCTATGAAAAGAGTATCAATATAATTATAAAGAAAATAATAATAAAGAGACACTGCCGCCAAGGCGGCTGAATTTTTTAGGGGGGTAGGCAAAGGTTTTTAAGGGGGTTTGCATCCAGTGAAAATCCTGTCATGTAGACGCTGCCTCTGCCATTCATTATTGAAAAAAATTTTCAAAATGTTAGGACAGCTTTTATAATCTTTATTTAACAAATATTTTTTTAACGGTTTATAAAATTTTAAAATTCTACGGTAGCGGTATTAGGAACATATCGCAACCAACATTGTGCTGACTCAATTCTGTAAATACACTCTATGTTTACCAAATTCACTGAGGCATTATCAAATCAGAAAGATGACTTGCAATTTATTGATAATCTCGAATCTGCTATATTTACCATTATATGGTTAGCTATGTCTTTGGATTTTTCACTATTTGAGGGGAAAAAATTTAATAGTTTTATTGAAACGACCTTAATTTTGTTGAAATAGCTAAGGATCGAGGGAAATGTTTTAATATTACCCTTATTAGATGCATCTGTTAGAATTGCATATGTATGCCCATCTTTCAAATCGTCAAGAATTGACCTCCTGGATTTAGGTCCTAAAACATTGATGATAGCCTTGCTCATTTTTGTTCTACAAGTATAGTTTTCATTTATATTAGAGTTGTTAAATATAATGGGAAAAAGATTCTACCAACCAGTGGCGTAGCTACGGGGGTGGTTTTCGGGTTTGGACCCCTCCCAGAGCAAAAATTTATTTTTAGATTATACGTTCAAAAGACTTATAAGTGGTGACTTTATCAAATAAATACCAATAATATTTATATTTTTCTGGTTTTGATGTTTGTGGAAGGATACTATATTACTATTGAAATTATTTTGGATAGTATTATTATAAAGTTATTGAGAATACTCTACTAAATTATAAATCACACTATTGATGCATTTAAAAAATACCCAGGCTTTTATATGTATGGACCCCCTCTAAGGAAAATTCCTAGCTACGCCACTACTACCAACATTGTGACGA